ATTATTTTATTTTGATACAGCAAATCCAATTTATTGACATCAATATTGAAAATTATAAACACAGTAAAATTGATTTTTGCCAATGGATTATTTATAATCCTTATCCATTGGAAAACTTTCAATATTAAAAGAGGAAAATAATTTTTTTTACATCTTTTTAGTCAGAAATCAATATTTGATTAAGAAATATTTTTATATAATTTTTGTTTTAATATAACACAATGAGTGATTAAATTCACATTATCCTAAGATTAGACAAACATGTAAATAGATTTCAAATTTATAATAAATTCAATCACACATTCATGTTTTTAATACAAAAGTTCACTCACTACAAAGTTTGAGAGCTACACGAGGGTTACTGCTAAAATGGTTATGATAAGAATGCAGTGTGTGATATGAATGAAAGAGGAAATAGTAGGAAGGATAAGGAGGATAGATAATGATTGACTCTTGATTTAAAGCAGTTAGGATCACAGTGTTCAGGAAAGCATCCACACAGAAGTCTATTCCACAAATTGACATTTCTTGGGGAAAAAGCTGCCTGAGCCTAACTTTCTTCTTACATTTGGAATATGGAGGAAATGAGGTTGATTTGACTCCATGGATGTAACATGGCATTCAGGGTTTCCTCAGTGGTAATGGAACAAGTTTGGTTTTGAAGGCATTAGATGTTATAATGTAAAGACTGAGAGAGATGGGGAGAGCTGAATGTTGCTCTACAAGTAATGTGTCTGATATATTCCCACAGAAACTACAACAGATACATGGGGCACATTAACATATATAGATAGAGCAATGTTTTAATTACATCTGACAAATGCCTATCAATAAAGATGCAAAACAGGCCCCGAGTCACATACAGACATGTTTGCCAAGGACAGTCACATCTGTGTTTCTCCATTAGCAGCAGAACAGCTTAGCATATCTAGATATGAGCCTCTCTGAAACATGTCCAGATATGGGTCTTTGTTAACCATCTCATGTCAACTAAAGCAACAGGAAAAATAGCAGTTGGTAGTCTGCTTTTGCTGAGACTCACTTTGCTATCATCTTTAGTGTCTTCTAAAGATACTGCCTTGGCACATTGTGTTCCAGAAGTTATGTGCCACCCACCATGCTGCGGTTTTTGAGGCAGTGACCTCACTCATCATTATTAAGTTTTTTTTTTTAGTTTTTTCTGTCTCTGTTCCTTATCTGCCTGTTCTTCCTGTTAAGTGTTTTCCCCAGCCTCAACACATCCTTGCCTTATTTTTCTGCATTACAAAACACTATATTTGCTATCTGTCTATATTTCTGAGATGAGGTATTATGTACATTATTTACATTATTCGGACTATTGTCCTCATGTTTGTCGCCATATCTATTACGTTTCGGCCATTGTACATTCCAGCCTTCTTCAGGTGGTCGAACCAAACCCTTTATTTCGCTCACTGGGGTAAACTATTCTAGTTCCATGCGCCATGTTTAATGGATGTTAGTTATCAGTTATCTCCTGTTAATTTTCCCTCTGAAAGTTCTCCACTGCCTTAACCTTAATTGAACTCACACTCTTTGGGTCCTGTCACTGGATCTAACCAACGCCTTTATCCACTGTGCCATGGGTTCAGTTCGACATTCCAACCACCTGAAGAAGGCCTGAGTGTACAACAGCCAAAACATTGGTATAAATATGGCGACAAAGATGAGGACAATAGTCTGAATGATGTAAATAATGTACTATATTTGATGATTTTAAAATATTATATGTCTGATATTTTCATAATATTTATTAAATATATGATAAATTTTTATGATTTGTTTGTTTTTGTGACCTCTGACACTTGAGAAACAATTATGTTTCTAAGTGGGGATGAAGCAAGGGCTAAACATTGAAGAATATATCAGAATATACAAAATAGAGAGCATGTGATTTTATTTTTACCTTGGAATAACTTTATTTTTACAGTGTTTATTGCTTTCAATTTTTTAAATAAGTTATTAAACAAATTACGTCCTCGCTTCAAACACCCACTAGGTCTTAAACTCACACCTGGCCTCAAATGGAATGCATATATTTATGTCATCACAAAAAAGGATGGAAAAAGGGCTGATAACTTATATTGTTGCAGAAAATAAACTCTTAATACCATGCTCTGTCTTTACAAAATCAGACCAAGAATGGAGTATTGCTGCAATATCTGAGCTGGGGCTGCCCAATCTCCATTGTCCAGCCTCAACAAAGTTTAAAAGCACTTACATCGTCTTGTGAGTGATGAATTATTCTCCACCCTGAAACCCTTATCCCACAAACAAAATGTTACTAGCCTCTCACTGCTCTATCACTAATTCTATGGCAAATGTTCAGACAAATTACATTACCTGTGTGGGTGGTGTAATGAATAATACCTGGGAATTGTTAAATAGAGAAACAAATTCAAATTGGGTCCGTTATATTCACTTACACACAAATACCATTTAGAAAAATATGAATCCACCTCTTCTCCTCCCAGCTATGGGTTAATTAGTAAGACTTGTTTCACTAAACCATTATTATGTCAAAAATAGATTCTTGTAATCTAAAAATATTTTCTGGCTTTAATTAACCTGCAATGTGTTGGAAGCCATAAAAAAAAATGAATCAATCAACTACCTGACAACTACAATGTTGGTCTCTTTAAATCCAGGGTCCACTGATATCTGTCATACACATCCTTATAATATGCATTTCTTTCTCCCTCATTTCCCCTCCCTTACAACAATCTCTCTCTGTAACATTCTACCTTGAGTGACTCTTGGGCTTTGTATTGGGTGAACTAACAGAAAATAAAAATATATATTTTTCTTCAGATTAATTTCTTTATTTATCTTTATTAAGATAATAAAAACAGATGTAATTAAAAGATACATACTGTAGTTGACAATATGAAGTTATGAGAAAGAAAGGGAAAAAATAAAAAGACTAAGCTAACCAGATTTTGCTTCTCACTTGTCGGAGTTTCCTGGGTATGATGATAAACTACATCTGGCATCCTGGGTATGACGATAAACTACATCTGCGTCCTGGGTAAGATGATAAACTACGTCCAGCAGCAGTAGGTTTTGAGGAGCATGGAACCACCTCTTAATTGCTGGTGTTCCCAGGTTCACCCTGACCTGGGGTGATAGCACCTGTTAGGGTCCCAGCTATGGGCAAACAGTTAACATCGAAACTGGGGTAAAAATACTATGAAAGTGTAAAAATAGGTATTAATACCAGAAATACTTTTTTTAAAATTATTACCAGCAATAAATCTTTGGAGAAAAAAAGAACTATTACCATTTTTGAAAAAAAAATATTACTAACAGTGTTTTTAAAAAATAAATATTACTAGCAATACATTTTTGAAAAAAATATGACCAGCAATACATTTTTTGAAGGAAAAATATTTCCAAAAATAGATTTTTGACAAAACAAAATACTACCAGCAATAAAAATTTTGTCAGCATTAAATAACCCATTGAGGTTGATATGCCATAAAAGAAACCAAACCAAGCCAAACTCACTTGTCAGAACTCAATCAACAGAAGCAAAATCTTGTGCACATTGATTAAATAGGAAACACAAAGAAGAAACCATATGCATATCAATAATACTATATATACCCATGTATAAGCTGACTGCACATATAGTGTGACCCCCAAATATTTCTGTGTGAATTTTATGCCCTCCAGAAAATATTTACCTGTGTATAATGCATCTGACCACCAAAAATACATGATTTTGAACTTCATCAAAAACATTACCTGTGTATACTGCAACACCCTATTTTTTTAGTATAAAATCCTGATCATAGCAACTCACACTATATTCCAGTATACCAAAAACAGGTATAATTATAAACAAATTACAATCAGACCAAATAGCCAATCCGTTTGTTTACATAAGGATGGTTGTCTTGATTTTATAAAATTAGTTCCAAAGACTAAAGAATGTGATCATAGAATGTGATCCATACAAATCTGAGAACATATACTCACAGAAAGATGATGCACAGTCCCATTAACCAGATAGATCATCCTTTTCACATTTTTCTCTTTCTTTCTCGTGTTTTTGTATTGCCAACTACTATAGTTGTTGTTTGCCTTCCATCCACTTTTAATTATGCCTGTTTTATAGCTTTAATTATATTTATCTTTATTGTTTGTTTCTCACAGTGTTTCAGCTGTTTGCTTCCTGGCCTTCCTTGAGTGTTGTGCTCTAAAATGTTGAGAAATATCACTTCATAATTTACTTTTGGACTAATGTCTGTGTATTGACAAAAGTACACAGATGTAGGCTTTAAGAAAGCTTTATTCAACCGAGAATACAAGGTTTGTGTTTTATGTCCTTTTATAGTCCCAGTAAACAGAAATAGCTCTCTCAACGAGGAGAGTAACAAAACAAGGGGAGACCACTCTTGATTATTCATAACAGTCTGCCTCTTTGTTGTTATTATCACAGCGTTTCTACCGTTCTGTTTTCTGGCCTTCTTCAGGCATCTATGAATCTAGATAACCTTCAGAGAATTTTGAACTTTCCTGAAAGTTACCCAACTTGACCAACATGTTAAGAAGGCTGGAGAGTACAATGATTATGGCATTATAATAACAACAACAACAACAACAAAAACAACAACAAAAACAACAACAAAGAGGAGAAAATTAATCTAAACATGAATAATGATATTTCTACATCCCAGAAATTAAAACAGAAATCTTACTTCAAGTGCTTATGTACACCTCAGTACTTTCACATCATATCCAGTTCTTTTGTTCCTCCTTGATGTGTTTGGGAAGAAGTTATACGCACTTGAAGTAAAATTCAACATTCTAGAGCACAGCACTCAGATGAAACCAAAGAGTCCATATCAAAAATATTGTTAAAAAAGACAAGGAAATTATTCAGAAAAAAAAAAAAAAAAACATGAACAAGGTTTTAAATATCTAGCAATGTTCAAACAAGAAATATTTTCCTCATTTATTCTATATTCTTTTTGCAGATCCGTGTAGCGAAACGAAGGTACCACTACTATTATAACAACATAGCAGGATTTCCTTTCAGGTATGCAAGAGATTTTGCTCTTCTCACCTTAAGACTTTCTTTCTTGTTAATCAGCATCATACACTCCTATATCATTTCATTCAGCACTGAGGAAATACAAGACTCAAAGAAAGAAGAAATCTTAGATATTTTCATGTCCACAGTTTATTTAAGTGACATTAAATAATATGTATTTAGGCAAAAGTCCTTCAAGTTTGATTAAAGACAAGAAATGTTATTCAAAATGTTTGGATCTAACACTTTTAATCATATTTCTGGATATTACCAATATCAAAAGACAAGAACTATGAATGTAAATCCTTTTTAAATGTTTAAATTTTAAAATAGGTTTCAGCAGACAACATCCAAGTAAAATTCTTTGCTGGATCAAATAGATCTCACAATTGTTTTATATGCCCAAAATCCCAGTACCCAAACTGAACAATATTTTATTTAAATAACAATTTCCTTATCTATTAGAAGAGCTTCAAGAATCTGAAGCCTTGTTTTACAATTAATATATGCACATATAAGTATATCAGTGCCTAGCTGTCTCTATTTGTTAACATCAGCACGAAAGGTACTTTGACCACACACATTGCAAGTTAAATTACAGGATAGAGTATCAGTTATGTGATCAGCATGTCTATAAAGTAGTATAAAATTGAAAGATGACATTAGTATTATCTAATAGAACTTTTTAAAAGTAAATGTTATTCACAATGATAAGAATAGATATTTTCAGTTTTTATAACATATTACCATTACTAATAATATATTTCATTCATGTGAAATGTTTTCTATTACAGTCTTTGCAAGTTGTCAGATATTGCAAACAATGCAACAATAAATCAATGAATGATGAAAGTTAATGAATGTGAAAACAAAGACTATGAAAGTTATTAAAATATTTATTATTAATAACTTATCTCAAGATCTTTGTTCATTGGACTTAGTAGAAATCATTGATAATTTTGATATTATTCGTTTTTGATAATGGAATTTCTTAAAAAATATTAATATTAATTTTAGTTTTAATTTTAGAGATAATGATTAGTCAATCTCGCTTTCAAACTGAGATGAGATCCTCCAGCATAATATTCCAAGGGAGACAACTGTACTTAGAAGTTAAAAGGGAGATAACTTTTAATTCTATCTCAAGGGCGAATCACTCTAAATTTACTTTTAGCAACAATTATTTCCCTTACATTGTATTTTTTCCTGTTTTGATTGTGAGTATAAATTCTTCAAGTATTCTTTCCTCATTATGTGTTCGAAATATTTCAACTTTTAGAAACAGTTTATTCGTTTCATGGCTCTCCACATCTTCTTGTTTACATCATAATGTAATAATACTATCTCCTTTTTAGCTTTGTTGTATTTGTTCCTCTATCCATTTGCTTAAACTTGTCAAATTAGCTACTCAATGTTTCTGTCTGTTTCCATTGATTTCAATTGTCACAGCTCACAAATAAAATGCAATATTTCACTGAAATTGGAAAATTTTAAAAATCCAAGTTTTTTAACTATAAAAGTAAATAAGTCTTTTACTGTTAATTTAGTTTGTTTAAAGTTTATTATATTTTTTTTTTTTTGTTTTCTTTTAAAGGTTTTGGAGTTTAGGACAAGGATTTTTTTTTACATATGAAACAGAATATTTCACTGAAATTGAAAAATTAATAAAAATTCAAACTTTTTAACTATAAAAGAAAATAAATCTTTTACTGTTAATTTAGTTTGTATAAAATTGATTATAAATGTTTTTCTTGCTTTTTGTAGTTTAGCCCTGGTGTTTCCAGAAAAATATGGAAATTTCAAAATAAGTATTCCAAGTCAAAAGCAAAATCAAAGTAAGTATTGTCCAATTAAAAGAATTCTTCATCTTCATTCATATATCAGCTTCTAATAAATAAAACATCTGTATTTTTTAGCATGATGTGCAATTAGCAAAACTGTTATTGGCATGTAAAATAGAATTGGTAAACCAGGATCAAGTTCTAGCCGAGCTTGTTACATTCATTTTCACATAAATGCCCTTGGGAAAGGCATGAATCCATATTTCCTCCCACTACAGCTGTCAATTAAATAGTAAGTGTAGACTGGGCTCTCTTGCCTTGGCTAGCAACTCATCTAATAGAAGAAAAATCCCAAATGTCAAACAGTGAAGATGACAACAGGAAACCATTCCACCAGTTTTTCAAGCAGGCATAGCAGTCCACACATAAAAAAATGAAGTGACATATTCAAAATAAAATTGTAAATATAAGGAGTATTAATTTAACAAATTAATTAGTCATTCTGCATTTATGTGCCATTTCTCTTCAAGATGCAAGCAGTCATGGTACTCAACAACTTCTTATCCTTCATAGCTCTAAGCAATATTAATATCCTTTCCAGCCCCACTCTGCCATCTATTTACACAAGCTCAGGTACGCTACTCGCTATTTCTTTTTACCTCTCTTGCTTTCAATTTTTGAGACACAAGAGGAAAGAGGGCTTGGAAAATCTGACACTCACAGGACATATTGGAGGCAAGAGAGTCAGAGGGAAACAGCAAGTAATCTATCTACCAATCTTGTGTAAATGGATGGCAGAACGGGGACTGCGAGGGAGAGAAAGTAGACGCGTATTGCTTAGAGTTAGAAAAGATAGAAAATGGTGAAGAGACGTGACACATAGAAGAAGTTTGATTGATTCATTGATTGATTTGTTTTCTATAGCTTATCAACCCTTTGTAGGTTATTTAAAGCCAGAAAATATTTTTAGATTTTAAGGAAATTTTGTTCTTTAGATAATAATGATTTAGTGTTACATATCTTACTAATTAACCTATAGCTGGGAAGAGAAGAGGTGAATTCATATCTTTTCCAAGGGTATTTTCACAAAAATTGATTATAATAAACCCAACTGTAATGGTTACTCAGCTCTCTGATTAACAATTCCAAGCCATTATTCATTACACTACCCACAAGTCCACCTGTTATCCTCAAGTAGTCACCCATCTAGGTACTGACCAGGCTCAATGCTGTTTAACTTCAGTTTATTAAAATATATGTTAGTCTTTTCTTACCATTATTATTATATGTTTTCCATGCTATCACCTCTACATATGAAATCTTTGATTTTCTTCTTCAGGGGGTATTAGTCTAAGAAATAAAACCTTCCGCCTTTCCAGATGGTGAGTGACATTTCTTTTCTTATTTCTAATTTTCTCAAAATTTTAACTTCCATCATTTGATCATTTTTCTTTTTAAGTAAACGTTTTCATTACTTGATTATACAAAAAGTGTTTGTTTATCTTTTGCATAGAATATTATTTCATTCATTCTTTCATCTTCACCCTGGGGTATTGATCCAAATAAAATTATTGAATTTCTTAAGGAAACCAAGATATATTCAAAAATTTAAGCAATAACTAATCTTGACAAATAAGTAAATGGACAAAATAAAATAATCTTCAACTGAACTTCATACCAAAATCATTACCTTTAAATGAACTCCTTCAGAAAAACTATCATTTTCAACTAAATGATACTAAAATATTATTCACAAATTAAATTTAATACACAAAATATGATGCCCAATCAAATCTTATTAGGCATGATATGTCTTTAAACCCAACAATCAAATCAAATCATTCAGTAATATTCTACCATGAGATCTTTAAGAATACAATCAGTGTTTTTTGGGTTTTTTTGCAGGAAATACTGTGAAAACCAAGATGAATCTAATATGTTATCTATGTACAAGAGCATAATAAGATCAAGGAACTCCAACAAATGTAAGCAATTAATGTTTGATTTTTCCATATTGCAAAAATAGAATTTAACTATTTAATTTTTGCATTCTATTGGAATTTTAATAAAAATCTTTCTTTTTTTTTTTTTTTTTTTTGAAGGTGACAAAGATCTTGTTCAACTCCTGGTATTTGATGCTGAGACTGTGGTTGAAGCAACAAAAAGGTCCAAACGTGATAAAAAAGAAGCAATGAGGTAAGCCCTTCTCTCATCACAAACTATTGTTTCCTGATCTCAAACATCAGATTACAGTCACATTGCATGGAAACACCAGTTCTTATTTGATCACTGGTTAAGCAGGGACATGCCCAGTAAGTAATTAAATGGGTAACAACTTGGAAACACTGGGTACTGTAAGCAAAAATCAGATACAAAGCCAGTTGGGCATAAAGCTAGCAACTTCATCCTGTAAAAGCTTACTTGCTATGGAAACACAACAGTAGTATCTGGTTTTGTTGAGAGCTCTGGACCCATACTCCTCAGTGGAATCTTTGTGACTAATGGAGGAAGGGTATCAAGCATCACAGCATAGATAATAATAGATTATTCCAGTCATAGCAGTCCACAAATAAAGAAATAAAGTGACATAGTATATTCAAAACAAAATTATAAATATGAGTACTAATTTAACAAATCTTATATTGAGTAAGGGTCACCAGTTTTTGGTGACCCTTACTCAATATAAGATTTGAATGAAATAATAACGAGTCAGTTGACCCAGTACTTTCTGAGCGACTGTTCGGTTCAACTCTCTGTTTACGAATGGAGAGGAACCCGAAGGAGGCTACGCCGAAGGGCGGAGTCTCCGGGAGGGGAGGTGGCTGGCCCTGAACCCGTTTATACGGGTTCAAACGGGCATGTTTTTGGGCTGAGCCCACAGGCTCGGGTAAACCCACAATAAATAACCGACCTTGTGTCACATGTTGCCCCAGTGGCGGGGAGACTGAATATTGTCACCGGTTTTTGGTTCATTTCTTTGCTGTTAGTCTTAGGGAAAAGTTATTGTGCGACAAATTTTGTCCTTTAGGACATCATCAGACTAAGTTCATGTTTATGGTGATGCAACTACACATGCACACAAACAAGAGACACTGAGAATTTTAAATTTAAACATTTTTTAATGTGTTTTGGGTAAATAATATAGCCAATTTCATTTAGATTCTTTTTCTTTAAGTTTCCATCACTTTTGTTATAAAATATATAGTTGTTGTTATACATAAATATATATATATATATATATATATATATATATATATTGTTGTATCATGAAATGGATAAGTTGATATACATATAAAAAGTAGTAGTAATTTCTTCTGAAAAATAATACAGTATTAACAATCAAGAACACAGTCTACTGGAATAACAGTTACTTGTGAACTTTACCTCATTTCCATTCAGCTTCCACTCTCTCAGTAAGAGAGTGTGCTGTTTATCTTTTTAAATCAGTCCATCTTGTGGGAATGCTCCGGTACCACACAACATCTCTTTTTCTGAATTTATTACTTCTTCTGGAAGTTGTATTTTGTCTTTTTGAGTTTATTTGTATAATCTCTGACAATTCCCTTTTTCATTTACTCAAACGTTTTTCATCCGGGGTTGCTAAAGGCATTGGTACCACAAATAGGTCATAAATAACCTTCATCGGCTCTTATTTTCAGTTATTCATATCGTCCAAGTACCTTTTCCTTATCGTTATCTTAACCGTTTTTTTCAAGTCTTTAATCATGTACATCAATCTTCCAATGCATTTCTCTATGACACCAGCATTCCAGAACTCTTTACTGTACCTATATTCTTTAAGAAATAATCTTTTATCCTGGTGTATAGGATTTTGTAATTGTGTTTTTTCTTTCCTCTTTTTCATTTTCCTTTGGTAAGAGCTCGTCAAATACTGATTTTATTTTCCTTGTGAACTTCAATTCTGCTGGTGACAACCCTGAATTTGTACTTGGGTTCAGTGTCACCCGATATACAAAAATTGTATTGTAGTATCTCATCAACGGATTCATTTTCATCTGACTTTTTCAATGCTTGCTTGAAAGTATTCACAAATCTTTCTACTTGGCTATTAGATTGTGGGTGATATGGTGCGGTAGACAGATGTACAATTGAAAAAAAATTGCAAAAATCTTCAAAGTCACTTGCCATGAATTGCATACCATTGTCCTACAGAATCATATCTGGAACACCGAATCTTGTAAAAAGTTAATGCAAAAATTTTATCATACCACTACCGAATGTCTCTACCAGTGCCGACCAATCGGATTGTCTGTTCATAAAGAGTGATTCTTCCCGCACAGCACTTCTGATCCAATGATCACCTATAAAAGCAAGAAAAAAGTGTAGACACACCAGTGAGACTTCAGCTGCCACAGAAATCCACGACAGTTGAAGCTATGCACCAATCTTCTCACTCAACACTCACAAACTGCATATTCCTGACACTTAGATAATTTTTCCTCTTGCACAGCAAAACTGTTAAAAAACATTTATTACAAACTATTAACTCTTTCTCTTCAGAGAACTTTGATAGACAATGATAGTCAAAAAGAGACAACTTTCGTCTTATTCGTTGCATGCTTTTTCTTACACATTCTTTATTGTATACATTGTTGAATACAATTTTTATATATAATGATACGTTTGCCTTGTCCCTTTCTTCACATCAGTTTGGTTTCCTAATCAAAAATAAATAAATGTGGTGGAAGTCCGCCACACTCTCATACATGCAGACTGGTAAGCATAATTCATTCTATTTAAAAAAAAAAAAAAAAAAAAAATAGAAGCAGGATGTCTACACAAACACAGGTATCCACTCAAAATAACATTTAAAGTAATATATATCTGTGTGTGTTCATAGTTAATTTTATTATCTGATTGACTATTAATATTTGTTTCATTTTTATCCTTATTGGAAATTTTGTATAATTTAAGAAGTAAAAGCTTCTGTCTCCTTTTATTTTAACAGGAAAGGGGTTGAAATTGTTTTTGTTGGCACTTCTTCTGGTTTCTTCCTCTATGAACAATTTGTTGATTATCTAACAGATGAGTATGTTTATTCTTTCTTTATAAATTAGTTTTTTTTTACTATTTTTCTATGTTTGTTTTTATTATGCTACTAGTTTACTGTTGTTATCGCTAACAACAAAATTGAAGTAATTTTGTAATCACAACTAATTACACAGCACTTATTTTGATTAACCACATTACTTAGAATGATTACTTTGCTACTTATGTGCCATATAAGAATAAAGTTTCGCTGCCGATACTTAGGTTTGAACATGGATCACCAGAGTGAAAGCACAGTCAACATCATCTTGAAATAATTAGATCATGTGACAGGTAAAGGAAAAATACCTGTATGGGAATTAGCGGCATCTGACCAAGTGTTGTTCAAAGGTGTTACTATTGTCGCATCTGTGATTTGTCATGTCTCTCCTACAAACAGGCATTACAAACAAAATTATGTAAATGTAAAAACAGTCTTAGTCAACAATAATACAGTGTGTGGCAGAAATACCTCCCGCATAATCGTAAGGGAGATATTTCTTTGAGGTATATGTGAGAGGTATTTCTGCTGCATCCTGTATAAGTAACTGATGGCTATAAGAAGTAATTGTTAATTATTTATGGCAAATTTGTTTAAATAATGCACTGATTATTGTTTGCACCACATGGCAATAATTGTAAGTAAAATGATGCACTAAAATAAGAAAATAAGTAATCATTTTAAGTTCTCTGAATATCAGTGCTTTTTGCAATTTCATTTGTTACATTTTCTGCATAACTAATCTTAGATCGTTATCTATACAATTCTTTTATCAAATATAAGAAAGAATTCTGCTGTTCACCTGTACATTCAAGAAATGATGACCATATTTAAGCACTTTAGCAATCAAGTATAAAAAAAGTATTAAAAATAAGAAAGATAAAAAAAAAAACTTTGTATGATTAATCTGTTATCATTACTTTGCTAACCAGGTATGTTCACTTCAAGTTATACTTGAACATTCATCCTTCAACCTCCCTATAGTTGTTCAAAACTCCATTGACAATCTCTTTCCACACTATTTGGTCCTGTATTGCTGTCCCCAGATCCCTAATATCCAACCTTGAGTCTTGAGCAATAGTCTCTTGAAAGTCAATTTTCATGAAAAGACACTTCCAGAAAGATGCCATAGGAGTAAGGATGAAATGACTTCCCTGTCCTCTCAATGACAGTGGCAAGGAAACTGTAGTCCATGGAAATTCAAATTCCAAGTTCATGTCTGGCATGGGATAATTCACTTCATGGTTTGAAAGAAGTCTTTAGCCTTGGGTGGTAGTCTTTCTTGACATGGTGTTGTGACAAAAACACCTGGATGTAGGGTTGGCATCCCACATTTTGTATAAGCTACCAAGTTTTGAACATTACCATAACAGCAGAATATCTTATTAGTAAGTAAGAGAGTTCAAGTTGCATGATTGATAAATATATGTATTTCACTGTGTTTTATTGAATAGATAATAAAGTCAATCCTTAATTTTCATCATCATGTAATTATAAAAAAAAAAAAAGAAACAATGTCTTGCATTTTCAGTTGAAAAGTACATAATGGTGGTATTGAATTTTACAATTTACAATTTTTAATCCTTTTACTCCAAACAAGGCACTAAGATACAAAGGGAGTCTGAAAGAAAAAAAAAAAGAGAAACATTATTAGGGTGCGAGAACAACAAAAGAAGAGGAATCAAGAAACAGTAGATGACAATTGACATTGCATTTAAAATTTTAAAGATCAAAGTTGACTGGAAAGTATGGAGCGGGAAGAGAATTCCACAAGCGAGATGTGTGAGAAAAGAAACTGTTAGCATAGAACTTATGGTTGCATCTAGCCAATTCGACTATAAATTGATGAGACCTTGTTGCCACTCTAGTTTAAATTCATAAAGTCTATTTAACATAGCAGAAAGTTTATCAGAACAATTACCACTGCTATCATATATTTCCAGTTCTTACAACAATGAAAGAAAGGATTCCCATTCCCTTGCCCAATTCTTATTGAGAAGGCATCTGAATTTAACAATTTTCTTTACCCAAAGACTCCCAAACTCTTATAAATACATCTACTTAATCCAGTTTAGGTGTTAGCAAGAGAAAAATGCAAGGTCAGCCAGGAAACAAGCATAAATTAACATTTTTTTCATAAAAAATAAACTGGACAAAACTTTGAACAGAGCAATTGAAATGATATTTGTTAATACAAGTCTTTTAGAAAATTACTTTTTTCTTCATTCTTTTTTGATAATTAAGATATTCAATTATCCAAAATTTTGAATTATCTGAACATATTTTTTCAACCTCTGTCCAAGGATGGATAATCAATGAAGTACTATATAATAACATGAGACTCATGTTGAAAAATAAAACCACAGAATGAGCTGTTTTGCCAGTAAGGAAATGTAATCATTGATATTCATTTCATATCCAGATGATGAAAGTATGGATAAGCACACAATCAAGGATACCAGTGTACAGGCAATAAACCCTATTTCCAACACAGTTACATAGCTACATACATACCATATTAAAACATGCCAAAACTTTATTTTCTACCAAATATGACAAAACAGACATGTAAAAGAAATTTCACAATACAACACATACAGTTTAAATCAAAGTGTCTATTGATTAGAAATTAACATCACCATGTGAAATATTTTACCAATCAAATAAAACTAAAACCTTATTTTTCTCAAACTTACTTTTGGGAAAACTTTTTTATAAAAACCCACAGATTTTGACTTTCACCAACAGAGATGCAATTGTCTCCAAGCCATTCAGACATGAGAGAAGATGTGGCTACATAGCTTGTTCCTTCCCCCTCCCCTGAGTATGTGCTGAAAGAAACATGTGTCAATGACTTCAAATGAATCATCTCTAACAGCAGCTCAGACAGTCATTGAATCTTCACTGATTGTCAAAGTCTTTTCTAAACTACAGATTTTTCTGTGTATCAATAACCCAAAGACTTTAACTCAATTAAAGACTATTTTAACTCCTTTCTGCCTCTTTTGAATTCATGTACTTATATTTGTAAATACAAATTATTTAACAGACATAGCCATGTTTTCTTTATTTTTATTTTGAATTTGAATATTTTATTTTTAATATAAAAAAATCTGGACAACAGAATTTCCTACAAATGTATATTGAACAAAACAATAACATTAAATATGACAGCAATAAGGAAACTATAAGGAATAAGTTTATATTATTGAACAAAAAGTCAATTATATTAGTATTATTAATGAGTCATATGATTCTTTTGCTTGTCATTTTCCTTCAGGACATTTTTGAGTGGTATGCAGGATACAATCAACAGCCCTTACTATGAACAGGCCGTGGAAGTAGGTCGAGCCAAAGATGATCAACGATGCTATGATATGGCCAAGGAAACATATACTTATTCAGTTCCTGTGAATACCGATATTATCAAGAAAAGACGTAAGCTTCATGAAATTATAAAACAGTTTTTCTACATTCACTTCTGTTCTCTAGATGACCTTTTTCTTTTTTTTCCCTCCCAATATCTAGTCCTCTTCATTACAAGCTAAAACTTACTCCCTGACAAATATTGACTATTGTTTCATGTAATATAGATATATCAATGATAGTGTTTGTGCATTTTTTTTGTTTCTTTTTTTTATGTTTTACCTTCAGGATGGTATTTTCTCTGGAATAGGAGAATTTTAACATAGATCAATAGGATCAAGAGTCTTTTTTTAAGAGATTTTTTAAGGTTTTGTAAATAGAATCTTGTGAGCACATTTGGCAAATATTGCAGGAAATGAAAGAATTATATATATACATTACTATATTCCTTTACATTCAGAATTGTATACCTATTATAGTCATATTTCAGCCATTGTACTTTTCAGCCATCATGTCTGTTGCAGGATACAACTAAAATGTTGTGAGCATAACAACCAAGATTAATATAAACGCATATATTGATAGCAATTCCTCATCTCAAAAATTCCAACATAAATTTTTTTTTTTCACTCTGAATTTCTGGGATGAGGAGTTATCTTTACTTAACTATTTCCATGCAGACTATTGTTCTCATCTTTGCTGGTGCTATCATAACGTTTTGACCATTATGCCATCCAGCCTTCTTCAGGTTTATATTGACCCGAGTAAAAACAGGGAATTATGAACTGAACCCTTAATTTAATCTACAGGAGGAGACTGTTCTTGTTCCACTGGCCATGTCTATGGATATCTCGTCTCATTTTTATTTTTAGTTCTGTTCAGTTATTGCTCATCTTGTTTGTATTGAATTCAAGTACACACTGCCTGATCCAAGGATTGAACTCATAATTACTATGTCACCAAATTCACAAACCAACACTCTTCTAGGGCATCCATGGGTATGATGGTAAACTGCATCCACGTCCATGGGTATGACGGTAAACTGCATCCATGTCTTGGGTATGGCGATAAACTACATCCACATGCTGGGTATGGCAATAAACTATGTCTAACAGAAAGGCCGTTTTTAAAAAATAAGGTTGTTGGCTATATGTTTTGGGGAAAATAGTATTACCAGCCATACGTTTTCAAAGAAATAATGTTGCCAGCAGTGTGTTTATGCGTTTAAAAAAAAAAAAAAATAAAAATATATTACCAGCTATACATTCTTTAACAAAACCTTATTTAATGAAATTGTAACTGGGGTCAAAACACCGTGAAAGTGTAAAAATGGGTTTTAATACCAGAAACTCTTTGTAAAAATTATTACCATCAATACATTTTTGAAAACCAAAAGTTGCCAGCAATGCATTTTTGAAAGGAAAAACCTAAGCAAACCTTAAAACACAAAGTAATCCAATGAACCAAATAGCAAAACAATGATCACAAATACACATAAGATACTTCAATGGAACTGTAGAGGAATAAATAAAAAATTATTACCAGAAATAAATTTTTGAAAGAAAAGATATTACCAACAATACGTTTTTGAAAAGATATGCCAGCTATACGTTTATGAAAATACTATAACCAGCTATATATTTTTGGAAAAATACTATTACCAGCTATATATTTTTGAAAAAATACTATTACCAGCTATATATTTTTGGAAAAATACTATTACCAGCTATATATTTTTGAGGAAAGAAATATTGATAGAAATGGATTTCTAACGAAACAAAAATATTATTGAAAAGAAAAAAAAAAAAGTCGTCAGCATCAAATGACCCATTGAGGTTGATATGCTGTAAAACAAAACAAAACAAACTATTCTAGGTTACCCAGATCAACATACACACCTGATGTATGCTGGAGGGCACAATGGTTGAAACAAGAAAACAACAAATATGAAGACAATAGTCCGCATGTAGATAGTGTAAATAATATTAAAGATAATTTAAGTTTTCGCAAAAGGATATATTTTTATTTTAATCAGAATTTTCTTTTATGTATAGATGTCATGTCTTCCTCTTTCCATGCCAATAATCATATGAAAATATAGAGATTACACTGGGAAACTAAAGAAATGTTTTGTTTGTTCTCCAAACAAATGATGCTTTATTCAACTGAATTGAACACATTTCTAAATCTGGACTCATTATTTAGCTAACACATCATGTTTTTGAGATATGCACATAACAAAGATGGAGAGTGTAGAAACCATCATGACTCACTAAAGATTACCCCTTGCCAAAAATGCCAGACATCCACCTACCCAAACAAATCCTCTTCTCAGAGCTTGCATCTAGCAAGAGACCACATGGAGCTCTAAATCATCAATTCAAGGATCAGCTCAAAATCACTTTGCTGAGGGCAAAAATTGATCCAGTCAATTGGGAGAGGAAAGCTGCAGAAAGAATTGATGAAGAACAGTCCACAAAAAAAAACATCCTTCAAAAACACCAGAAGACAAATAGAAAGGAGGAAAAATCTCAAAAAAAGCCAGAGTTTTCCATCTCCTGAACCCACCTATACTACCATGCAGTGGCTGTGAACATCTCAAAAATCCAATATAGCATACATTTCACACAGAAAGAAATGTCTATGAACATCCCAATAGTCAGCAATGAGTTTTGCCAATGACAATGATTTCTTTTTAAGATAAAAATCCTATTGATAGTATATTTTTCTTTTTAAATGCCAGGTCCCTTCAGGACTGAGGTAATCATGATTTTCCACAGATTCCTTTTCTTTATTATCTGTGGATAAGCATGATTTGTTATCTTCTCCACACTTTGTTTAATAGACAGTAGATATTCACTTAGAGTGGTTGCCACTCAAGGCTAAAGAAACTGATCTTGTCTGTTAATCTTCCCATAACTGGGGAGAGAAGGGATGGATTCATGCCTTTCCCAAGGGCATTTGTGTGAGAATGTATGCAGCAGACTAAGCCACAACTTGAACTCTATGTGCTGATTCCTTTTACGCAAGCCACACATCCAAGAATATATTAGTAGGGATGCAAAAGTAGGTATACAGTACTGAAAAACAAAACATTCACATAAAACATTGTTTATGCAAGCATATCAATAATGAACATATCAATCCCTCAAATGTTCAAATTGTTTGCCCCCCCTCATTCACACATGCCTATTTACCTGCAAAAAATTTATTATTTACTGAAAGTTATAATAAATGTATTATAACAAAAATGATGAAAATAAAAATATTAAAAATGATTTTAATGAATTAAATGAATCTTAGAATCACTATTATAATACTGGTATAATACTTACTGTATACCTACTTTTGCAATCCCATATATATATATATATATATATATATATAGGGATCAAATATGGATTGGAAACCAATAGAATAATAGGATAAAGAACACATTAAATAAAGAAACATTTCAGGTGAGTCCTGATAAAAATTATAAACACACATCAAAGTACTATACATCAACTTTAATTATATTCATTCTTAGAGAATCTAATGTATGTTTATCAACCACAACCAATGTTTACATATAAACATCCCAAATCAAACATGCAGACAATCACCAAACAGAAATAATGCATACTATAGCATACACACACACACACACACACACATATATATATATATATATATATATATATATATATATGTGTGTTTGTGTGTGTGTGCATAAAACAATCAAACATTGTGATAAATATGGCGACAAAAATCTTTGTTACCCATTGTAATTGATATAAGACAAGTTGGCCCCAATCATGTGCAATGCACACAATACAAAATCCTGATGTGCTTGAACAATTCTAAATATGGATTCAGAAACAGCATAGTCAATTAAGTTAAATACAATCTCTTTTTGAATAGTAGATAAAAACTTTTTGTTGTTCAGCTTTCCCAATCTTACCCAAATGACTAACACAAAATCCTAACATGCTCATATGTATTTCAGCATTCATTTAATATAAAATATTGTTATCCAAGTAGAAAAATGTTTGTTGCCTAGTTTTATAAAAGATAAAGTAATGGATAAGTGTAATAAGAGTTGTGAAAAGAATGTAAAAACAAACAGTAAAACACAAAAGCATATAAAAAACAGTAAAACACAAAAGCATATAAAAAGAGTAAAAATGATTTTGAAAATCTAATAAAAAAAGAAAGTTTGTAGTAAGAAATTTTTTCAGTTCAATTTTTCAAATATTCTTTCAGTGTTTTTTTTTTTTAATTTTTTTTTACAGAAGTTTATGACTACATGAACCTTAATATCACTGCAGTTACTGTCAGCGTCCCAATTATCATATGTGATAATGCAAGAAATTATATAGTGTCTGCTGTTAGTGGCTACCAAATGCCTTTCCACAAGTTTGATGAACTTGTTAGTGAAACTTTTGGATGTCCAGATGGAAAATTCTGTCCAATATATAACAGTGATAACGTAAGTAAAATTAGAATTGAGAACACAGATGACTTTTTATTTATTTTTTGACTGAAACCCTGCAAATTTTATTAATTGATTCATTTGTTACTTTAAAATTATAACAAATTATAAGATTTAAATATTCAAAAATGATTTTTTTTGTTTGCTAACTAGAATGATTTTAATAATGAAAATAAAAATTTTGTAACTATAGTAAATAAATTCATATAATATTCTTTTTGTCCCCTACTGCATTCAAATTTTATACTTAAAAATGTAAAAACAAATATTTTGCTTGTTTATCTGTACAAATATTACACTTTCTGACTCTAAAATTTAATTACATAAATCCTGCTATGATTTGAAACTCCAATCTAGAGTTCAGCAGGCAAATGACATATCCATTAAGCCAGTGTTTTACTGGCACTGAATTTAACTTATAAAGTTAAGTTTTTTTCACTTTTTTTATTTGAATTAGTCATTATTTTTAAATGTTAAATTTAGTTTTCATTGTTTTAACTCTTTAGCATTCAAGCCACCCAGACCCACCTCATAAATATCAGCTCTCAATGTTTAACCCACTCTATGTATACTTTGCCAAAATATATGATAACACCATTGCAAATAACATAGGAAATCATGTAAACAGTAAGACTTTGACCACAAATAGCAAGACTTTGAGAGAGCTATTTACATGGCTGGTTCAAACATGTTGAATGCTAAAGGGTTAAATGAATTTAACACATCAACATTATTTGGGAAAAAAAATAAGTGACTAATTCAAATAATTACAAACCATAGATAAGTCTCTTAACTTTTATTTTCAATATCATATTCCTTATCATGTGGACCAACACTCTTCTTTCGGTTGTTATATTCTCAACATTCCGCCTATTGTTGCTTCTTGTTTTCTTCCAGTATCTGTCAGTAATTGTCTTGGAATTTTAAATCAGTCCTTTTATTCAATCAACAGATATAGATTTTTCTCATTCTTTCCCATGCTTAAAATGATCTACTCATCCCTGTGGTTCAGATAAAGGTTCAGAGAAGATGACAAAGTATGATGGCAGACATCTTAAGAAGGCCTGACTATAACAATCAAGATAAACATGCTGGTTTGAATAATAAGACATAGAGCAATAATTTCTCATCTAAAAAATTCTGACATAAATTTTATTTCCTGTATATTCAAGCAACAGAATTATATTATAATAAATATTCCATTTGCAAGCTTATCCTCAGGTTAGAGATTCAAATTACAAGAAACTTCCACAGGCCAAGCTTGTTAGATTAATACTTTTTTTCTTTTTCAGTCAAATTACACAGTTTTCTTGATTGATCACAATGGCATTATTATAGCATCTAGCACAAAAACAACGGTGAGTAAGAATTGCACTTTTTCATTAAATCATTATTAACTCATTTGCTCTTTATTTTATTACTGAATTTTGATTATTTAACTATATTCAAATACTTTCTTTTCATGCACTTCTCATTTAGGGAACTCTCTTCCAGTTTCTTACTTTCCCGCTTCTTACAAAAATTTAAATGCAATATCAATTGCTATCTTCTGTCTTTCTGAAATCCTGTTCTTTTATTGTCTTTTCTCCTTCTTAAAGTCTTTTCCTTCTGTTTCATTCCCAGTAACCCCTTGCATCTTAGGGGCATTCTCATCTTGCTTGGGGTGAAATGATTAAAATAAAAAAAAAATTCTTGCTCCTAAATGAATTTTCCCTCCCAAGTAAACTATTATCTTTTTGAAAAAAAAAATTGTTAAAATTTCTTACTTCATCAATTATTTTCCATCCATTTTTTGCTCAAGAATGTCACTAAACATTTTTAATTCAAATTGATTTTTTTTTTTTTTTTGCATTTTATCTTTAAATAAAATCTATGTCAATAAATATTGATTTGCATATCAAAGTATCAAATAATAGCTGGCCACTCATTTCTGAGTATACCTGTCTGCTAGGACAGCCAATTCCTTTCACAGATGCCTGCGTTTGTTCAACACCCACACAGCCCAGCTGTGGTTTATACTGCAACTATACTGAGCAGGCCCTAGTTACAGTTTCTGGAGGAGAGGGTAGAATTTGATGTGATCAAAAGTTTGAACAAGGCCAGTACACTCACTCCCTCTGTCACAATGACTTGTGACTTTGTGCTAGCACAACTATTGATAAACAATACTGTCTACCCAATTTCAATCACAAGACTTGGGTCAACTTGTGGTATGGCTTTCAGGTACTTTCCAATGGTACTGCAGGCTGGTATCACTTTCCCAAGCTATTAGCACCAAAAAGTCACCTTCCTGACAAAACGACTATGGTGAGATTTGAACCCGGGTCTTATGCTCAGAAAGAGAACATTCTAACTACTCAGCCACATGCCCAAAGTATCGAATAATCACTTTAATATTTATTATTTAAATGCTTATACACTTCGTTATATACTGATTTATTGTTCTCATCAAGGTTATTATTATAGATACTTCCAGTCATCTGCAAGACCTGTTTTATCCTGGTGAAGTGTAATGTGGCATTATTGATTACATAAATGGTCAAAAGACTGAAGAAATATTGAGCCCTACCACCTTTGATAGTTGTCCTCAGCACTCTGAGATATATATATATATATATATATATATATATATATATAACTAAATACTACAGGTGCAGCAGAAATACGTCCCATATATATATATATATATATATATATATATATATATATAGTTGGGTCAAAATGTTCAGAACGGCATTGTTTTTGTCAGAAAAGTCAGTATAAGTTTTTATCAAAGTTGTTTTATATTCTATAATTTTCACACACAATAAATACAATATTATTTGTTATTGTTTGAGATTTTGGTGTAATTTGAGAGGATAATACAACAGTTATGGATGATTTAGTGATTTACTGCAAAACCCATGGCGGCCAAAATGATCAGAATGGTTGCTTTTACTTTGTGTTTATTATATTTAACTGGCGAACTCTAATTTTTTTAATTTGTTTACATGACGGTTCGTTTACTAAACATTAGTAAGAATATCTGCAGTGTACTTTGTTAATATAATGCCACTTACTCTGTTACCAATTCGTCAGCAGATTATTAAGCTTTGAAAGAAGGATAATTCAAGTATTGGGTCTATTGCAAAGATTGTTAACAAGTCAAAAAGTGTTGTTCACGGTATTCTTAAGGTCTACGATGATTGTGGTTCATGTGAAGCAAGAAAGTCTACAGGTAGGCCAAGAAAAACGACCAAGAGAGAAGATCGTGCTATGGTAAAGTTGGTTAAAAAGGACGTATTTAAAACTGCTGCTGCTGTTTCTCGGGAAATGAGCATTGTACTAAAGAAAACTTTATCTCAAAAAACTGTGTCTCGTCGTTTAGTTGAACATGACCTACAAGCCACAGCACCTGCAGTGAAGCCACTGATCAGCTTCAAGAATAAAAAGTGTCGTCTTACCTTTGCAACCGAACATGTGTTATGGTCTCAAGAAAAATGGCAAATGGAGCATTTCAGTGATGAATCTAAGTTTATATTATTTGGCTCAGATGGGAAAAGGTACTTTCGTCGAAAAGTAGGTGAAAAATTGTCACCTAAATGCCTTAAGACTAGTGTTAAATTTGGAGGAGGAAGTGTCATGGTTTGGAGGATGATATCTGGAGATGGTGTGGGTCCTTTGGTGCGATAACATGGAAAGGTAAATGCAGGAGTTTATAAACAACTTGTAAAAGATCATGTCTTGCCTGTGCTGAGAAATTCAACTAAGTGACCATCCATATACATTCAGGACAATGCCCCATGTCACAAGGCTAAGGTGGTCATGAACTTCCTCAAGGCTGAAAAGGTTATTGTTATGGATTGGCCTGCTCAAAGCCCAGATCTCAATCCTATTGAAAATGTGTGGAAAATTCTAGAAGAATGTTCGAAAGCCAGAAATCCTAAAACAACCGAGCAATTATGGAATGCCCTTCAGGAAGAATGGAATAAGATCATCCAGCAAGAAATTGAAAATTTAATTTCCTAATGCAGTCGAAGATGTCAAAGTGTGATTGAAGCTAAAGGGCTTCACACTAAATATTAAATAATTCCAGTATTCTCTGTCATTTTTTATTATTTTGTTATTTTTTCAACCATTCTGATCATTTTGGCCGCCATGGGTTTTGCAGTAAATCACTAAATCATCCATAACTGTTGTATTATCCTCTCAAATTACACCAAAATCTCAGACAATAACAATTAATATCGTATTTATTGTCTGAGAAAATTATAGAATATAAAACAACTTTGATAAAAACTTATACCTACTTTTCTGACGAAAACAATGCCGTTCTGAACATTTTGACCGCAACTGTATATATATATATATATATATATATATATATATATATATATCTTTAAAACCATTAAAATCAATAAAATTAAAAAGATATATAGAGACTTTGAAGGCCTGAACTTAAAAATTACAGTAAGCACTAAATTGAAAAAGGTGAACTTCCTTGATATAACATTAGATTTAATGAAAAATGTATACATATCTTATAAAAAATCCAATACTAATCCTTTGTATATACACCCTAAATCTGATCATCATCTCAAGCATATACCTTTATCTATCGAAAAGAGAATAAGTACAAATTAAGCAAATGAGAAGATTTTCTATGAACATATTAATTTCTATAATAAAGCTCTAAAAGATAGTGGCTACAAAAGCCTAAAACTAACTTACATAAAAAATGAAAATGGAAAGCACAGAAAAAGCAGAAGTAGAAAAATAATTTTGTATACACCCCCATACAACCAAATGGTAAAGAACAAATTAGGACAAAAATTCCTTGCGTTAATCATTAAACATTTTCCTAAATATAGTAAACTCAGTACTATTTTCAATAAAAATACCCTAAAGTTACAGCTGTACTGAGAACTTGAAAAAAATTATTAAGAAACATAATGCTAATATCTTGAGTAAACTCTTAGACCAAGACCCCAAAAAATTAGACAGTATAATAATAAAAAGAGATGAAGATAAACAAAAATTATGTAACTGTAGAAATCCTCATAACTGTTCTCTTAATAATAAATGTCACACTGAATCATCAGTGTAACAATGCAATATTTCATCTAGTGAGGATCCAGACAACATCAAAGTCTACATTGGATACACAAGACACGAGTTCAAGAAGCAGTTCAACCAACATCAAAGTTCTTTTAGGATAAATAAATACCAAAATCAGGCATCCCTATCGAAATATTTCTGGCACAAAAGAAATCAATAAAACACCTACTGTAAAATGGAAATTAATAAGAAAAGCTAGAATATGTAGGTCATTAAATGACCCATGTCCTTTGTGCATACATGAGAAACTATATCTTACTAAGTTTATAAAAAATAAAAATTTATTTAATCAAAGATATTCTTTGCTTTGCTGACATTGTCAAAAATTTTCCTTAAATAATGTTTAAAAAAAAGAAAGCTGATAAATGAAATATACATATTTATATTTGATATTTAATAATAATTTTTAAATAATTTAAGTAATCCTGTTACATTTATTTCTTTTAAAAGAAGTTTAGTCTATTAGTAATTAAGATTAAGAATAATATTTTAAAATTGTAGTTCAATACAATGTATTTATATACAAACAACCCTTTTAGAAAAAAATCTTTATGCATACAAGTAAAATTTAATGGTGAAAAAAAAGTGCCAAAAAACTTTTTGTCATTCATAAAGACCAGATGACATTCATTGAATGGATATCATTATCGTTGGAAAAGACACCCCTACCCAACCTTAACTTAATCTCTTTTCGAAAGTAACTCATATGTTGATACAATAGTTGTCAGTGAAAATGAATATCTTACCACCCCTTGTTAAAATAATTGGATTTCCCCATATCCTTAGAAACTAATATTATGAATGTATGTGCTTATAAAACTCAGTAAATTTCAAAATAAGTTATTCCAAAATTTGCTTGAAAATGAAACAGGACTAGGGACTTTAATTTAATTCTATAGTTGAACTTGAAGTTTTTAGTTTCTGTTTCTGAAACATGGTAATTCCTATGTAGCAATGGAATCATATTTTTAAATTAGTAAATTTATAATATTTATGTTCTGTAGATTTGCATTGATCACTGTTTTGTAAAAATAAAAATAATTAATAAGAACACCAGATTATATATCTTAGTATTCTTTCTCTTTATTATAATATATATATATATATATATATATATATATAATATGTTTTCTTTTTAGGTGGGCTTGTTCTTAGGCAACACCTTTGAGCCAATTGTGATGGAGAAACTGTGGGACATGGGAGTGTACAAAGAGTAAGTTATCTTTTGTCTTCTCAGTCTATTATTCAGTATGTACTGAGTTTATTAAAGGCAACTTTAGTCCAGATATTATACACCAACAGATTCAAAATTTTTTATAACTTATTTTAGAGTTGCTACCTGTGCTTTTATTGCAAAAATTGTGTGTTTTTTGCTAACTTGATGAGATAGTGTTATTTGCATATTGTTTCCATCATTATTCAAAAGGTGAAACAAATCCAGGTTAACATATACAGAGAATAACTAAGAGAGATATAGAGTTTTTATTGTCTATTTTAGTAGCCAATCCTTTTGAATTAATATAGAATATCAGAGATTGTGTTTTAGGGAAATGAAAGTTGTTTGTCATTTGTTACAGAATTGTTTAATGTGTTTTTCTTTATCTTTTAACCGTTATGGGTTATGAATTAAAACAAATAAACTAAAACTAATGCATAAATAGTGTACACTAGACTTTTGAGAATATAACTTTAGTGAAGTATAAATGTTATACAGCATCTGCCATAGTTTACCATCTTTGTTTCACTTTCAGACATATTGAGAGCGTTAATTTCAAGTCTGTTACAGCAAAGAAAAGGCTTGTCATGCTCATGGCACTAGTTGCCAACAACAGTAATTCGGAGATAGGCATCTTCTTGAAAATAATCAGGTCTTTCATGTCCAAGGTCATGAACAAACCAGTGGCCTCTGGCAAGGGATGTGTCATTTAGGGCCATTCTTGCAACATGGAGAGAGAGTGAGAAAGACATACACACACACACACCAAGTTAAATATGTGTACAAATCTATGTACATCTTTTTGTATAAAATATTTTATTTTAATTTGTTCTCAATTACCTGGTGTACTCTTTGTATGTGTGTGTGTGTATATATATATATATAGAGAGAGAGAGAAAGAAAGAAATTGTCCCAGTTGTGTAACAGCAAAACTGTCCAATTGTTAGATTAAGCCTTGAACCGTTGTAACTTAGAAATGATTAAAGATACCTTACTGTAATTCTACAAGGTTTTCATATGACTATTGGACTCTACTTTGAACAATAAGAACTTATTTAGCTCTAAGTTGAAATGATGATCCCTCTTCCTGGTTTGACCTCCTGATCTGGTGGCAAAATCATCAGAAAGAATCCAAAGAGCACTGAGAAAACAAATAAAACCTAAGGGAAAAGACGTTAAACAAGGTGAAAAGATGTTCTTAAGAAATGATGAATGGAAAGGGCCAGGTTGGATTATAAGAAAAGACAATGTAGTTGTGTTAGTAAGATATGGAGGCACATGTTTGTGAAAGTAAGCTCTTGATACCTTTAGAATCAAAAGCAAGTCATAATAAAACAACCAATAATAATATAGAAAGTGATGACAGTGAAGCTGAAGACAAGGAAAATACAGACGCTGTGGGAAATGGTACTGAGAACGATGACGACTTTCCTGGAGATTCACATCAAGACATTGAAACAGAAGATTAAGAGTTCGAAGTTACTGCCAACATTGAGAAGGATAGCTCAGCATCTGTTAGACAAGTGAACCCCAGAGTTAATAAAGTTCAGAAAAATCATATAATTCTGTTCCAACTTACACAAAATAGAAAAGGATGTGAAACTAAAATTCTTGGATGGGCCAGACAAAAAACTGGTACAGTACTAAATATATAAAACCTAATGACATAAAAGGAATAAGTATGTCTATTGATTTATCAACTGCGAAGAATTCAAAGATCAAACAAATGGAAATACCAACAGAAGAATTCTTGATTTTTTTAAAAGCAAAGAGAGATGAACTGAGAAAATGGAAAGAACTGAAAGTTTATTTAGAAATAGAGGATAAAGGACAAAAATGCATGTCATCTCGGTGGGTAAATACAGCAAAAAATGATGGTGACTAGATGAAGTTAAAATCTAAAAAAGGCTTTGAGGAAGATTGTCTCAAAGAAATACCCCAAAATTCACCAACAATCAACAAATCATCTCTAAGAACAGTATTATCAGTCACTGCCTAATATAATTGGTCTGTCAATACTATTGACATAAAGACTGCATTCTTGCAAGGTGAAGAAATTAAATGAGATGTCTATATTGGACTCCCATCAGAGGCATATACTGAAAAAGATTTGAAAACTAAGGAAGTGTTTCTATGGTTTAGCAGATGCATCATTGCAATGGTATCAAAAGGTAAAAACAACTATGTTAAGACTCAAAGGACAGATATCTAAGATTGATCCAGCAATATTTTATTAGTTTGATAAGGGCCTGTATAGAATATCTGCCATGCACATTGATAATTTTTTTATGGGCAGGATGTGATAGATTTCAGGACATAATGTCAAAAATCAGAAGTATATTTCAAGTTGGAAAAGAAGCAACAATTTCATTCAAATATACTGGACTGAATCTGAGTCAAGAAGAGATGTATATCGTGTTAACACAAGGATTATATTAACAACATAAAAGAAGTGAAATTAGACAAAAGAGAGAAAACAGCACATTTATCTGAGGATGACAAGACTCTGCTAAGAGCTAAGCTTGGTCAGCTCTTGTAAATTTTAAAAAATCATGCACTGATATTGCATTTCATGTGACAGATCTGCCTAGTAGAATCAACACAAGTACAGATGAAGATTTGAAAAGATTGAATAAGATTATCAAGAAAGTAAAATCTGACCATATTTGAAGTATTGAAATTTGGGCAAGAACATAGAAATACATATTTTTATGGATACATCATTTGAAAATTTGAATAACGGTGGCAGCCAAAGAATATATTTTATAACCACGAAAGGAGATAATCAGAAAATGAATCCAATATCATGGCAATCCTGCAAAATGAAGAGAATAGTAAAAAGTATATTAACCAGTGAGGCACTAGCACTATCAGAAAGAATTGACAATGCATTCAGTATTTCAATGCTTTTAGGTGGGTTGTTGAATAATAGAATAGCAATAGGAAATGTTAAATAAGGGAGAAATCTATT